GAATTATATCTTTGTTCAATAATATAAAGCATGCATATGTTCAAATGGTGTGTTTGGTGTTTTTAAGGCAGCATTTAAGTGATCAATACTTTGAACTAAACAGGCTGTTATCAGCAACATCAACAGCTCTAACTGGAAAAGAAATCCTAACTTCTTTTAATAATACAAACTTTCCCTATTTTGCATATCTACCCATCTTCCTTGTTTTTCTTTGCATGTCAGTACAAACTCATCATAGAGTTTGTGATCAGTCATGGTTGAGTGCTTTGGTCTGCTGTGCTGAAAGAGGGTATTCTTACTCAAACCTCGGTGCTTTTGCCTTGGGCAGATATCAGATGTGCATTTTTTCTTTCTATTTGACCTTGGATAATCAATACCAGATTGTGTTATGAAATTAATATTTATCCGACTAATGAATAGAGGATGGTTTTGACTTTTTAGAAATCAAACAGAGTTATACAGAAATACAAACAAGAAAATATTCCAATTAAATATTTTTTTATAGATATGTCCCACAGTGGACACAAATGATAAACCATCGCACTATATTGCAAAATATGTACTGTGTTTTAACAGTGTGCTTTGGTGGAAATTAATGTCCTAAATACTCACAAGTCAGATTTAGATTTTTGTCATAATTTGACAAAATCATTGTAAAAATATTTGTTGTTGTTGTTGTGAGATGTAAATGTTTAATTCAATGTGTTCTAAGGGAAAATGTTTCTTCCCCATTTTTATAGCTCGATTGAAAACTATGCACAATATAAAATATTTTGATTTCAAGTGGCATTTACCATGATTTTGTTTTATTTTCTTCACGCATTTCAACCCTTCTCAGTCTCCTATAACGTGATTTCATCAAGTGCAGCATGTTCTTGGATAAACATCTTTGTTGATCCTGGAACAACATCAACTAATCAGATTTGAGGGACAAGTTTACAGTTTATGTTAAGTTTGGGCTTACAATCGGGGTTATGTGCTTCTACATATATCATAACCCTCTGATTTGAGAGAGGGTTAGATTTAGGGGTTAGGACTACATTTTCGGACAGGAATTTTGTTCCAGAATCAACAAAATATGTTGATCCAGGAACATGTCTTATATCTTACTTACACATCTTACTTGTATATCTTACACAAGATTGTGATCTTATGGTACTACAATCTTACGGCATTTAGCATTTTGCATTTGTGGAGACAATTGTACTTACATGCCATACAAATGTGCAATTTGCTTAAACAATCAGGACATTAGAATCTGAACATGAAACTAGGAGCTGGTATTAACCAAACAGGGTAAATCAATACAAGACCACAAACCCATAAAAGCTCTGCGGGTGATTTACTGGCAATGCACTTGGTACAGATGGAGCAAGTCAAGTGAAAAATTAGTTAAGATTTTTTGGGGTGTTAAAGACACCCTGTGGTGAAAACCAAGTGTTTAATGTTCAATGTTCAATATGCATTAAGACAAATCCTGCACAAATTCATCAGTCAACACCATTGCTGAGAACCATTGACAGTCTCACAAATGCGGTTTGAAATTGCCCCTGTTTCCTACTAATGTAAACCGATCCAATCCTGTCAACATGTGGACATCCTGCACACTTTAGCTCCAACAAACTTTCCTGGAAGTTAGAAATCACCCCCCTAAATCCTCATTCAAAATCCCTACATTACTCCGTTAATATAGTGAAGGAAAGCGAGTGAGTGAATTCGGACACTGAGTGCGTCAGATGGCCTGCCTCTTTTGCATAGTTTGTGGGTGCTGTTTAATAATTATTTGAAACTTAGCAAACTGGCAGCTCCGTTGGTAATGAAAGGATTTACCTTGAACTCTAGCATGTATAAACCTTAATCAGACAATTTAATCATTCATTTGAAAGGAATGTATACCTGTATGATATTACGCTGTACCCACATTGGACCAGCGGTTTGGAAAATGGATGGGTGGATGATTCAGCCGTGAGTGCCATCTTCTGTTCACACACGGGGATTCGACACAGCCTGGTCTAAAGAGCTTGATGAGCATGTGAACGTGTGTTTAGGGTTGGAGAAACACTGCAGGACACCCCTGGTCCATGATGTTCAAAGCATTGCTAAGGATGCTGATTTTTAGAAGTCAGTTGCCTTACTCTGAGATGTTGAACGGGAACAGGGTTTGTGTAACATTAGCATGACCTTATAGAGTGCCGAAGTGATGACGTCACTTTGTAGGACGATTCAGAAGCTAGCGGCGCATGGGTTCCCTCGGTCGAAAAGCAATGCATTTTCCCCATAGACTTTTGGAAAATCGCAAAAAACAAGATCTGTGTTTAACAAAGGGTTGTGAGTGTGACCCTTACGCGTTTTGTCCAGCAAGATAAATCTTTACAAGGTAATCCAAAATTTATACATTTTGAAGCCTATATAAAGTTTTTAAAAAACACAATCAGACACAATAAAGTTTAAAAAACCACAAGCAGGTTATAACTGTGTGTTCTATGTCAAAGATCAAAACGTGAAAATATTTAGAGGCTTTGTTCACCACAGACCTTATTTCAGGCGATTTAGCAAAAACCCATTCAAAAATCCCATAGGCTTTAGAGCGAGGGAACCGTAATGCTAAAATGCTAACTCACTTCCGCGTTTTAGCCTACAGAGTGACGTCGTAACTTCGGCACTCTATTAGCGATAACTTAATCAGGCAAAAGACTAATCATACACTCAAAACAATGCTGGGTTGTTTCAATCCCAAATTTGTGTCAAATATGGACAGACCCAAACGTTGAGTTAAAGATGCAGTTAAAAAAAATTACAGTTAAAGTTACAGTTTAACCCAACATTTGGGTAGTGTATCAAATACCGTTATGTGTCCGACATTGTAGAGAGATACATAAAACGCATTCTGAGAGACTATTGACTTGTAGACATGCCTGTATAACTCACTCTTCCTGCTACTTCTGAAACAGTTTCAGGTTCAATCATATATGGCTGAATTGAACCAATATTTACTACGGTTGACCAAGTTGAATCTCTGAGCAAGTGCGATTCAGTGAAAGTGGCGCTAATTTGCATATTCACAGTCTGTAAACAGTCAATTCAAGGGTTAGTTCACCCAAAAAGGAAGAATTCGCCATCACTTGCGCACCCCCATGTTGTTTCAAACCTGTAAGAGTTTCTTTCTACAACGTTCAACACACAAAAAAAGATATTTTGAAGAATTGAGTTAAAGCGATTGATAAAAACACTTTACTTGAAGGGGTGTACATAAGACTGACATGACACCTTCATAATCATGACATGACATGCTCGTGACAACTGTCATTAAAGTGACATTCGCTCAGTTATGACATGACATGTCTTTGTTATGACATCTTGACATAAACCAATACATCATAACCCATCAGTGTCTTTGTCATTGCAACTTGACATAAAATTAAGTTAAACTGTCGTGTGGTTGGTTTTGACATTGGCTGTCATGAGGCCATTATAACTTTTTAAGCCTTCGCGGTGCCACCGGCTTGGGCCCAACATCGATGCTCGCAGCTATATTATTTGCATTGAAAATGTCATTATTGAGTGAAAGACACTTAATAGTTGTCATAAACATGCATAAACCCTACTTATGGTTATGAAGGTGTCAGTCTTATTTCAAGGAAAGTGTTCCCAAACCTTCTGTTAGTTCTAATCAAAGCCTTGGAAACATGGAGCCTGACATTGAACAAACACTGTCTAGTTAGAAAATGAGATTCTAAATCCATATCATTCTTTAATGTGATGTCTTTGATTTACTGTATTCACAGGATTCCCAACCCAACCATGGAGTATCCCAACGCCACATCGAACAACTGCTCCATCAGTGACTTCAAGCACAACGTCTACCCGATTGCTTATCTGTTGATGTTTTTCCTTGGGCTTTTTTGCAACCTCATATCCCTGTTCTTCTTCATTTCCTCTTCGTTGAGAAGAAAAGTGTCTTTGTCTCCAGTCAACATCCTAATGCTCAATCTCCTTCTGTCCGATCTGATGATGGTGTGTTCGATGCCCTTCCGAGCCGCCTACTATCTCATGAGCTCCGACTGGGCCTTCGGGGACGTCACCTGTCGGATCATGTCCTACGTCTTCTACATCAACATGTACGGCAGCGTCTACCTCCTCGCGGTCCTGAGCGTGGTTCGCTTCGTGGCCATTGTGAAGCCGTTCGCATACGTGCGCTGGCAAACCTCTCGGAGAGCCTGGGCGATATGCATCGTCATCTGGCTGATCGTGGCCCTGATGTCCATCCCGCTCCTGAAAGCCGGGACGTCTCTGGAGTCTGGACGGATCAAATGCCTGGAACTGATCCCGTCCAACTTGAGCACCATCATCGTGTTAAATCGCGTCACTTTGTTTTTAGGCTTCGTCGTGCCCTTCGCGGTCATCTCGGTGTGTTACATTTTCGCGGCCTTTTATTTGCTGAAGCTCAGGAAGACCAGGAGAAATCAAAGGTCTCAGTTCAATCACAAGAAGTCCTGTTCTCTCGTGATCATCGTCCTGCTGATTTTCCTCGTGTGCTTTATGCCGTATCACGTCGTGCGAACTCTATTTTTGGAGGCGGAGATGGCCGCTATAGACAATGGTTTCGGAGAGTCCTGCGATAACATCGAACGCCTGAGAAAGGCCGCGGTCATCACACACGTTCTGGCCTCGGGAAACAGTTGCCTGGATCCGGTGCTTTTCTTTTTCGTTGGGGAAAACTTTATTAATTTTTGGCGACAGAATACACCCAGAAGACAGAGTTGTATAATTGAGCAGAATGTGAAAGTGTTGGAGAAGATAAACAGTGATGCTGAGAGAAAATTCACACTGATCTAGAGCCCTTATTTGGGACCTGTCGGGACTTGAAGAGGAAATTCCTGGAAAAAGATTGGCTCTGTGGTCCCATGCGGGAAACACTTGATTAACCTCCAGAATGTCACAATAGCGGTGTTTCCAACCACAGCTGTGAGCTGTGAACTCATGTGAATATTGCATAAATCACTGTTTTGTGTTCAAGAGAATAGGTAAATCCATTCGAGGTCAGACTTCGGCTCTGGAATTCACAAATGACTAATGCAACATTGTAGACGGTGTGCAATGTGATTGCTGGCTATGGTACAGTTATCCAATCACATGATCTGTGGAGGCGCATGGAGGAACTGATTTAGAAAATGTGTTTGTGCAGGTCCTCTTATTGGATAATAAATATACATACATATATATATAAATATATATATAGTTAAATCTTGGATGTGATATTTAGTTGATTAAAGTCTTTAATCTTTAAAATCTTTTGCTTGCCAGATGTTTCTCCTGAGGAAAAATATCTAATTTTGCTTGTTTTGAGTTTCAGACAAATGTCTTACATTTTCAATGTGAAATCAATATTTCCCATCAAATCTTTCTGACCGAAACACTGTTTCTGTTTTTGTTTTGTTCTGTGCTCTTGTCAACGTTGGTTCATTTGTATAGATAGTTAACCCAGAAATGAAGCCGTTATTTTTGTAACATATGCTCTTCAAAGCTCTGTATGTTTTGTGTATTTGAGTGAACTATCCCTTTAAAGAATTAAGGTGATTTCAGTGAATTTTAGAGCAAATATTTGAGTCAAAATTAATATTTAAACAAAACTGAGCTAGATAAAAAATACACTTTATACCCTTCTAGGAAATATATGCTAGTAATTTATTGATTTTTTGTAAATACTTGTCAGTAAATGCATACATGTGTACAGTTCAAAGTTGTGCTGATTATACATTTCTCAATCAAAATACTTTTTGATGTGTTAATCATCAGTTATGTTCATGTTGTAATATTGTAAATGTTTCAAAGATCTATCTATCTATCTATCTATCTATCTATCTATCTATCTATCTATCTATCTATCTATCTATCTATCTATCTATCTATCTATCTATCTATCTATCTATCCATCCATCCATCCATCCATCCATCCATCCATCCATCCATCCATCCATCCATCCATCCATCCATCCATCCATCCATCCATCCATCCATCCATCCATCCATCCATCCATCCATCCATCCATCCATCTATCTATCTATCTATCCATCTATCCATCCATCGATCTACTGTATCTATTACTAAATCTATGAATTTTAACATGATTTTTTTTTTATCATATTGCTAAAACTGACTTGCCTATTTATGGATTTAATTAGCCTTCTAATTATTTTGAATTTTGCAGTATAACATTTATGATTACTGTAACTGTAACATGACATTGAAATTAAATTGTATGCAAGTGTTAAAATGATTATAAAATAATTATAGCAATATTATAAATGTTTTGTGTCATTTTTTTGTAACTGAGGTTTGGCTCATTTCTTGAAACAGAAATTACAGTCTCATAACTCTAAGATCATATGGCAAAACAGTCTTACAGTTCAGCACAACACTATAGCTCACTTGCAAAAGCTCATACCTCTCTTCTCAAAACTAAATTCATTTCTCATATAAAGAGTCAGTGCCACAAAAATGGCAAAGATCCTTCTCAATTGCTTGAAACAAACCGCACGTTCTCAACACTCTTGGTCCTTTTGCCAAAATAACGTGGATGGTTCAGCACAATATGGTTTACCTGAAGATCATACCTCTCCCAAAACAGTTCACTCATGTGTCAAAACTAAATTTCCTTATTCTCATTAAACCAGTCAGTGCCCCAAAATGCTTAGTCCCTTTGGCATTGTGTAAGCACTTCAAGTCAAAATGTTTAGATGTTTTGTCACTATGGCAGAGGAGGACCATTGAAATATCTCTCATGTCCACCTTTCAGTCTATTGACAATGGTTACTGATGCTTTTTGTCTAGCTAACAGAATACAATTGTGTATAAAACTGATATATATATATATATATATATATATATATATATTGTATTTTAGGTAAGAGTAACCTCCCAGATTTGACATCACACTTTGCACTCATAAAAAAATATTGTTGGTTTACTGTAACTTACAGTAAAAAAGTAAGTAACCTGGTTGCCTTAAAATTTTAGGTTGATTGAACTGGAAAAAGTGAGTTAATACAATGAAGCAGAATGATGTAATCATCAGAAACTCAAAATAATAAGTTATCTCAATTGAATAAATTATTTAAGTTGACAAAAGAAAAAATGCTGTGATAACAATCTTGAAAATATTTTTTTTTACAGTGATTGCCAAGGAATTGACATTATCATTCACACACATAAAGTAACTTCCATACATCAGAGGTAAAAGAAAATACATTCTCAAAACAACATGGACAATTAGGCTACTGTAACACAGCAAACACACTCTACAACTTTACTGCATAATGCAGCATTTTAGTAATGCATTTATCATCAAAACTACAGTGTGTTCTCTGTTGATTTCAGCTGTAGAAACACAAATACATGAATGAAAATAAAATGTTCTTCAAAGTTATTTAAAGGCGAGTTTAGGTGTATAACGATACATTTTCACCCAAAATAAATAAATGTACTGCAATCATTGAATCAATGAACTTTATAGATCTTGCCTCTCATTTACATCTGGTCAAAGAATTTCATCAACATCATTGCACATATTTTCACGAGTCGTAGGGGAAAAAGCCGTGAATGCCGGATCCATCCTTGTGCCTCAACTTCTCCAGACCTCTTCCCTCACTAGAAGAAGACTGTAAGGGTTGTTGTGATGATAAACTTTCCTTCTCCAAGAGGAGAATATGCTGGAAGGAGCGCCGTCCTGAAATGTGGATGATGCTCAAACCCCTCTAGCTGAAGAGTGAAACTGTATTGTCCCAAACAAGTACACAGTTTCGCTCAATTCGCTCCTGATCAACTGTGAATTTCCAGCCCGTTCTCATCCCAAGGCGTCATATCGTCATATAGCGCTTTTGACATTTCGCCTACATCCAGCACGTTGCACCCTTTAGCGTCAATATGAGACGCAGATTCATATATGGGTAGAATGCGCCTCCTAGTGGTCTAACCCTAACCCTACCCATAACCGAACAAAGCTCTGTACGTGTTATATTGACGCTAAAGAGTACCACATGCGTTGGATTTAGACGACATTTCAAAAGCAGTCGCACATGTACAGTTTTTTACTGTAACCTGTTTGGCTTTTGCCCTTGGGTCACTGTATTTTCACAGTATAGCGCTGATAAACATTCAATAGCCTACAATATTCAGTACAATACTATACTTGCAGTGCATGCATACAATTTATTCAACTTATATAAGTTGTCATTACTTTAGCCTGCATTTTTTTTTTTTACTTTGTTACTTTGTATACTTTTTTCCTGTAACGGCATGCTTTGGCTGCTGTGTTCTCCATTTTTTTGTATGTATAGCCTCGCTGTGTGTATGATCTGAAAGCATTGATTTATTAAGAGCACATGTAAAATGGTTTTGAGGCGATTGTTTGATTTTTACCAGAAGAGTCAGAGGTTCTCTGAATATGGTTTGGAAATTTGATTTTGAGCTTAAGGTTTTGAGAAAGTGAGTGAAGGTTTCAAGAAATGTGTTTTAGAAACTGTGCGTTGTTTTTTTTTTTACATAATTGTAAAACATTAACACAAAGACATTCGTAGATTCAAATTTTACAAACAATCTGACTTGAAGACGAGGTAAAAAAAAATAAAAAATAATAATACAAACAAATGAAAAAAGAACAAATAAATAAAGGACGTTTTTTCAAATCCAAAAAAAAAACCAAAATCTTCCAATAAGGACTACAAATACACGGGTTTTCATCTTTCTCACTGTCTCCAAATATACAGTACTCCAAATTCCTCCTTAACCGATAACCGTGGAGGAATTTTGAACAATACATTTGTGTATATAAAATTTTAACAGAAGCAACACATTTACAAAAGATAACTTTTTATCTTTAATTAATAGTCCAAACTTAACAAATTCCCAAAACAGTATCAGCTTTACAGGTAGTTTTCGTTGCATCCAGCTCAACGCATCATTACAAAATTTGTTTAACATGCAATGAATAAACAAGTTTTCAACTGTTTCTATCATTGCATGTTTGACATAAATTTGAATCCCCAACATTAAATCTTATTCTTAAAAATTCTTTTGTTGGATATGATTTTAAATTTTAAAGTGCACCTCTTTACATTTAGGATTAACAAGAAAATTTGTCCTAATTTTACACACTTCTTCCTTTTTATAATGACGAAAAATATAATTTCTCAATACTGGTCTAGGGAAACATTGATGTACTAAACAGTCTCTTAAGAATTTGTTAGAACAATTTCTGTCAACAAAGCTTATATTTTCTATAATAAGTCCTTGTAGTTTAGGTAAATATTTCAAATGTTCACTTACTACTTTAACCATCGGTAATGGAATATTCTTAATGTATTTTTCATACATTTTAGCAGCTTAAATTGTATATGGTTTAATATATTTCCAACATTGTCCATTGCACCTGACCATGCCTTTCTGCCACCACTCATCAATAAACAAAGATTTTCTGTTCACAGTTATACATCTGTTGTTCCAGATTGACATATTATGAGGGCTATAATTATGCTTGAAAATCAATTTCCAATATAATAAAACTTGTTGATGGAAAGCAGAAAGTTTTACAGGGAGTTTGGAAAGTTCAGTCACATTGCAGCAAAAAACAAAAAACAAATATGCCACCACATTTACTGAGTATGATAGAAGTAATCTCAAACCAGAAAGAGGACGGATCATTAATGAAAGACTGCAATTCCTATCTAAGTGACCCCATTCATAATATCAAAGTCAATCGTTTTAAGACCACCTTCTTCATAATCTTTAATCATATCGCTTTATGTATATGACTCTTCATTTTCCACATAAAAAAAAATCAAAGTTTAATTTGTTAGCTGCCTTTATCTTTTTTGCAGAAACAGCTAAAGAGTTGTAAGTCACTTTGGATATAGCCTAAGCATCAGCTAAATTAATAAATGTTAAGAGAAACATGAATAGATGAATCTAAGATTCTCTAGCCTACTTTTGTCAATAAAATTATTCCAGTGTCTCTCTGCAGCCAAGTATTCATTATTAATTTACAATTATCCAAAGTTTAATAAACATCGAAATGTTCTAAATGACCCATCCTCATAAACATACCTAAGTATTTGACTTTGACATTTTTAACTGGGATGTTAAAGGATTATCATGAATGACCAATAGCTCACATTTTGACATATTTAGCAGTAGCTTCTGAAAAAAAACTTGATTGACTGAAGTGCTCAAGGTAGCCTATATTTGTGTTCATTTGCTGTATGAAAGTACTAGCTCAGAAAAAAAAGAGACCCAGAAGCGTTGCGTTTGTACACAAACAGTGACAGTGAAGGCTCCCCCTGTCGGAGGGAGGGGATCTGTTGACACGAGCTGTGTCGCCATCTGTCGGGTACAATGAGAAACACTGAAACCTCCAAACACTTATTTCAGGCATGATTTCAGGTAGTCGGACATATGAAATTAGAATTTGAAAAGTAATTTTCTAGTGCCAGGAAAAATAATTGTAATAGGCTAGGCCTAATAAGCTTGTTTCCGCCACTGAATATAAAAATAAAATAAATAATTCTGACTTTTTTCTCACAATTGCGAGGTTAGGCCTATATATCTCACAATTCTGACTTTATTTCTCAGAATTGTGAGACATAAAGTCAGAATTGCGATATAAATGTCAGAATTGCATAATATAAAATCAAAATAGTGAGATATAAAGTCAGAATTGGGTGATAAAAAGTCAGAATTGCGAGATATAAGGTCAGAATAGCGAGATATAAAGTCAGAATTATTGGGTGATATAAGTCGCAATTGTGAGAGAAAAAAAGACAGAAGTGCGACTATTAATTTCACAATTCTGACTTTTTTTCTCACAATTGAGTTTACATCTACATCTTTTCTCAGAATTGTGAGATGTACAAACTCGCAATTGCGAGTTATCAGGCCAATTCTAAGGGGAAAAAAAGACTAACCCCCCCTCAAAATAGTTTAAATCTCACAAGTCTGACTAAATCCATGGCGGAAACAAGCTTCCATATAATTTATAACAGAATGCTGAAATAAATATAACCGGATATAGATTCTACACTCTATGCAGCCTAGTCTGTTTCGATTTTCCTCGTCAACAACACGTCAGCAAAAATAAAGGCTATAATATTGCATAACTATACAAACAGAAAGAGGAAAGGAATGAAATTCGACGCGGCTGTGATACGCATGCGCAGTGACGTGTGTGTACATTCGTGAACGGAAAATGATGGCGATTATCCAGACGCTCGAAGAGCCTGAGCTCGCTGTGGATGGAGGTGGCCGTGAAAACTAACAACACTTACGGGGAAAAGTTGTTTGCTTTGGAAGATCGTGACCCGTCTCGACCCTTGGACGCTTTCAGACGTCGGAAAAAGCGAGTGGATAAAGGCTGAGACTGTAAACTGTTGTAATATTCAAGTGTGAAAGAGCCACGTAGCTTAGAGATCCAGATCACACACACACACACACACACACACACACACACACACACTGGCCTAGTGCTTTTAAAGCCTCCAAACATACACATCAACCTGAAGAAGAGGAGCGATCGGGAGAATAAGATATACAAAGCGGAACGAGCTGTTGGTGAGTCGATTCACGATTTTGTTTTTACTAAACTGTGCATTTGCACTGCATGCTCACTACAGAGAATGCGCGTTTATTTAACGTTACTTCACGCATTTAGGTTTAATAGTGTAAGTGATCTCTCTTTTGAGCCACTTATGTGCAATGATCTGCATATGGTTAAGTGTTTATGAAAGAAACAGAGTAGGGCCTGAAGTGCACACGTCAACGTCATCTGATCACAGAGCTGCAGATTAAATACTGCTGCAGTCACTCACTATACTCACTCTGGCCGTGTCTCAAAAGCTACAGCTTTCTAGATAGACTGCATGTTTGGACAGCATGCGCGTGCAGCGTGCAGTTTGCTCCTCATTTTGTCGCGTTAAATAAAAAAGTATTAGATTTGGGCGTTTGCATAACTCACTTAATGTTCGATCTGAACGTTCTTCGGCAATGAACGATGTTCCGAAAGTGTTCAATTGGAGGGTGCCGGGCCGGTGATGCTGAGCAAAAATGTTCAATTTAAACTTTGAACATGGCAATTTCTAATTTGAACCACAATCATTTTGGAAGATTGTGCTTAGAAGTACATGAATTTATGTAGCAGTTATATTAATTTTTATTTTTTTTATATGTTTGTTTGTATATATCGTTTTGTTTTCTTGTTTTTTTTACATGTTCAAAATAAAATATATAAAAAATAAAAAAATTAAACTCACTTTGTGCTTAAAGTGTAAACAAACAACAACAAAACAAGTACTTTACCTTAAAAAATCGACTCAGCAGCTTCATTCCCTGGTATATCCAGTTTACCACCAGATGCCAGAAATGTTCAGTAATTTCTTTGTGGGAATATTATGTTCGCACCACCACCTACAATTATTATTATTTTTTAGATCACTTATACTATTTAGTTTTTTTTCTTTTTGGCAAAAAACAATAACTGTTATATATTATAAAAAATAAAATTTCAAACCTCATTCTGACCCCCTGTCTGAAAGGATCTGTTTATAGTGGACGGCTCCTTTATCAGCTGTTATTGATTGGATAACCCTATTGCATTGAAAACAGTGTCAATGGCCACTTTCGATTGTATTTACAGGCAAAGCTTTAGCTGTTGTCAGAGCCTTATCTTTCAGTGCAAGCATCTTTGTGAACTCTCCATTACACTGTGCCTCCTTTACAATACAACCATGCAGTCAAATGCTTCGAACAAACACGTTAGTTGTGTTGGGCTTGAAACCAATCAAAGTACCGTGAGAGCAGACTAGTGGTTGACTGATATTTTACTTATGGAAATAAATTGTTTGAATTGAAAAAAACAAACAAATCTGAAATTAGATGGAAACTTCTTGAGTCTGTAATCCTACTGCAGTATTTTTCAAATAAAAAAATAGTAAGGAATGGGACGATTACCGGTTTCACGATAAACCACGATAAAATGTTCTGACGGTTAGTATTATCGTTTAAAAATTAATTGTCATTAAAAACGTGTGATTATCGCGATTTTAATAACTCACTGTAAATCCTGTTGGCCAGCAACAGTTTGACCCAATTTTTTATTTATTTATTTATTTATTTTATTCGAGAAGGAATGGCAGAAGGCAGTGACCATGCTCGGGAGATTTTCCAGCCTTTTAAAAGGACCAAATCTGAGGTGTGCTCATTTTTTGCCTTTAAAGGAGTAGTTCACTTTTAAAAACAATATTTACTGATAATTTCCTCACCCCCATGTCGTCCAAGATGTCCATGTCTTTCTTTCTTCAGTCAAAAAGAAATTAAGGTTTTTGATGAAAACATTCCAGGATTTTTTCCATATAATGGACTTCAATGGGAACCAGACGGTTCAAGGTCCAAATGAGAGTTTCAGTGCAGCTTCAAAGGGCTTTAAACGACACCAGACAATGAATAAGGGTCTTATCTAGACTAGGACCCTTCGAGTCATGACTCAAAAAAAAAAAAAAAAGATTTGTTCGTTTTGATGAACGAGTTTGAACAGGAGAGTCACGAACGCTCATCACAGAACAGAGCAAGGCGAGTATTTGTGCTTATAAAACTTAAACTTTTTTATTTATTTTATAAATGAGCGATCGTTTCACTAGATAAGACCCTTATTCATCGTCTGGTCTTGTTTAAAGCCCTTTGAAGCTGCACTGAAACTCTCCGTTTGGTTCCCACTGAAGTCCATTATATGGAGAAAATCCTGGAATGAAAACTTCCATGAGGAAAAGTTTGCGTCGCGTGTGAAATGTCTTCATCCCAGGTACAGTGGCATATATTTCAGCATGTCATATATTTCAGCATGTCATATGACGACAAATGATCGCGATGCTCACGTTTACGAGCCAGCGTCATTATAGTAGCCTAGTCTATTGTTATATATATCTATATGAAATATATATCTCTATAAGTCAATATATATATATATATATATATATATATATGAAACTTCAATGCAATGTTTGAGTGGTAGATAATAGCCATATATCGTCAATATTATAATATCAAGCTACCATAAATGAATCTGCAAATTTTACAAATCGATTTGCATTATAGCTTGAGGCAAGAAAAATAAACGAAAAATAAATCACAGACATGTTGGGTATCCTAAAATATGATTTTGTGCATCTTATCTATTTATTCGCAAGAATGTAGCCCCTACCAAACTTGTACACGCCGTTTAGACGATAGCAGCCATAAAAAATTTGAATATCGTTTACTAGCTACCAGATTGATAATTCGCTACTCTACTATCGTTACTTGATTCATGAAGATAAACGGAGGATAAGGTAGCTTCCGTAACATAGTCAGGCAGACAAAAAAAAAGCGAGAAAACGCTGGCCCAATGTTGATCATCATTCTGCCTTTAATGCTTGCGGGATGTTTTAATGGTATAAATACCTCTTATATATGTAAAAAAAAAAAAAAAAAAAAAAAACTCAAGGAAAATTTGATTTCTCATGTACTTTTATGTACCTCTTTAAAGAGTACATAAAAGTAGGGTTTTATGGTGAAGAAGACCCAATTAAAAATGATATAATTTTAAAATGTTAACTAGCCTTAGTTATTTTGTTTTTCACACACCGAGGCTATTTTACAGCTAGTTTCCCATCACTGCACTGCAGGGCACTTGGTTATTTATTAATAGAGTCATGGCTAATAACTATGCAAACATCATTGCTGGTTTTAGACCGCTTCATGCTGTGCTACATTTACTTATTTTGATTTGAATGAGTCTTTTCGCTGTAATATTATCGTCCACATTAACAGCTGCATGGTTATTTCATTGAGTTATCTTTCCCAAATGTCTGTTTTTATTTATTTGCAACATGCTTTGCTCAGCATACAAGAGACTTGTGTAAAATCACGTGCTGTTCATTATGTTCCCTGCTGCTTTAGAGCGTGCATGCTTCCTTTTTCACCTGTCAATCACAGCGCAGATCTGTTATCCATCTCAACATAGAGCAAACTTGTTTATCTTTTATCTTGGACACGGTGTTCTGAGGAAATGCATACATTTAGATTGTGATGAGAGCTGTAGTTACACCACTACTGTTCACTTGGGATGGGAAAAAATTGGTCATATGATAAATTATGCGTAGTGATGCACGATATATCGGTATCAGCCGATATTTGTTCATTTTTATGAATTTTTTATTGTTATCGGCCCGATAATAAAATTTGGCTGATATATTAAAGCTGATAAATAATGTATTAATTACTTCATCACTTCACACCTGAGTCTCTTCAGATGTGCACAGTTCAACATGATTGATCTTAATTGCTTGAAATATGACTGGAATCAAAAAGGAAAATATAGTTAAGTGCTAAATGGGCTGTCATATCGGCTACATGAAGTTATAATGAGAACATTATAATTGTGTGATTGGGAAATGGATTTTTATTGTGAGACTTTTGTTATTGCAATCAGGCTCTCAAAAATGATTTAAAAAAATTGGATTTAGATTTATCGGCCGATATATCGGTTATCGGTTTTAAAAATATAAAGAATTATCGGTTATCGGTATTGGCCAAAATGTTCATATCGGTTCGTCCCTAATGCTTAGTATGATATTTTGAATATATTGTATCAATACGTGGTTGCTGAGCTTGAATTTCGGCTTGGGATTGCGAGTATTGTTCATAATTTTAACGTAAGTTCCGCACTTATAATAGTGGAAATTATAATAATATTGGTAAATCTTTCTTTCACAGAGTGATTAAATCAGAGCTACTTATTTCTCTCTCTCTCTCTCTCTACAAAATCACCCTAATCAGTCTAGAATGATGAATTCTTTCCAAATAGAGCTATTCAAGCCATCTGGTGAAAATTTCATATCACTATATATCGCATAAAAACAAAATATCGTAAATCATTTTTTTTCCCCAATATCTTGCAGCCATAATCTGTTGTACACTTTGAAAGTATGCAGAAATTAATGCATAACACAGAAAATGAAGTATACAGTCTATCAGAAGGAAACTGTAACATTATGCCAAACCTACACTGTCATCGTGCTCGCTCATAATCATAATAAAACACATTTGAACACACTTGAACACACCGAAAGAACAACTGGTGACTGTTAGCTAGAATGCACGTTCTGTGCCTGAGTGTAAATGAGACAACTGTCTATTTCTGCAGATATATTAGTCTATATTCCTCAATCAAATAGGGGAAGCCGGCGCTGCAGATACACAAACCATAATCAAAGCAAAGTAAGTGAATGCTTACTGTTTTAAATATCAATCTTGCTAAACACTTTCTTTATTCCACTCCGCTCGTTTTAATATTGAAATATTTGCTGAGGAACACCCAGGTAAGATGACTTAACATAAGAACAGCCTTCTATCTTTACCGTTTTGACTTTTCCCTCTGATTTGCTATTATTCTCGGGCATTAAAGGTACAATATGCATGATTGTTTCACCACCAGAGGTCGCTAACCTCTTACAATAACAAAGGCGTATATTAATGATGTATATTCTGCATTAAGCGTTATTATGGATCTTGTCGTCAAGCTGATGGATCTTTTATGGATGAGTGAATAGAGTGATGTTTTTAACATGACTGTGGTATGAAGCAGGGCGCGATTGCTACGTATACCAGTGCCAAACGCAACGCGAGTCCCGCGGATATAAAGGAATAAGGACACTTAATTCTACCGAACTACATGCAGAATTACTCACACAGGTCAGTTTATTCGAGGAATTAAACTTGAGGTAACACAGCGCTGTTTCACTTGCTCTAACAGTTTCATGATCACAGTAAACGGCATTTGTGTGTGTTTAATGTTGTTAGGTTGTTTGTTGGCTGTATGAGACTAAGCGAGATTAACATTAGAGAATAACATACATATCATATTGTAACTTTTCATCATGTTGAACTATATCACATTGATTAGTTTTATATACATTGATTTGCTCACCTGTTTGCTGACGTAACAACATGCAACACTCGCGTCTCTGTCGAGTCGAAGTAAGTCGCGGACGTGGAGATCTCGGCATCTCGAAAGATGTTGATCTTCGTTCAAGTCCTCTTTTTGTCTCAAAGTCTGCTTGCCATGGTCCATAATGTTTGAACAAAACCCTGCTAGGGACGCTCGCGCTGTTGAGCTCGCATAACGGGCATAAACGACCCAGTTGTCCACGTCTGTCGCCATGGTTACTATTGCAGTACGAGGTCAAACCTGGCGGAAACCGGGGGTAACGCGGATATGACGTCATTGACTCCTCACCCCTGCTCACACGCCCCTTGTTTCTTTGGTTAAAAATCGCAATTTTTCTCACGATTTACAATTAGTTGGAAACATTTGGGACATTGTAAGTAATAAACTAAACAAAATATATAACATTGGCCTAGTGGTTTTGGATATTTTACTGCAAAAATCCTGCATATTGTACCTTTAACTCTCATAAA